GGTTTTTACTTGGTTTTAATTTTTCATGTTGTTTCTGCAGTTCGCTAGTGAAGATATCGGGTTCTAATTTGGTTTTTAATTCTTGAAAGAATTCTTCCTGGTAGCTTCAGTGACTTACCATAAACCATTTCTGCAATGGAGCAGTTGGTATCATCACGTAGAGATGCACGTATACCAAGGAGTATAGCTGGTAAAGATTCATTCCATCTGACTGAATTGTGAGCTCTAATGGCTGCTTTTAATGCTCTGTGTCGTCTTTCAATTTTTTCATTGCATTGTGGATGGTATGAGGTTGTTTTCTGCATTTTAATTCCACAAATAATGTCTAAACTTCGGTAAAGCTCTGATCTTATTTTCTTTGTCTGTGATCACGCTATATGGAACACCAAAGCGACAAATCCAATTTGCATTAAATGCTTTTGGGATTGTTTTTGTGGTAATATTTTCTATCAGTATAACTTCCTTCCATCCAGCAAGTAAAACGGTTGATGCATATTAAGCAATACTTATTCCCATTTGGTGGAGGGTAGAGTCCAATTATATCGATATGTACAGACACACCCGCGTCACCAATTAATGTAGCGATTGGTACATCACAAAAACACTATTTATGCGTTACTTTTCATTACTATATTTTAAAGAAAATTATTTGTTACTTTTAAGACATCGATCATAATTCTCCCATTCATTTTTCTAAACATTCCTCCCCCCCCCGATAATGTGGTTACTTAATGGATTCGAATCCTACTGTGTGGCTGATGACTTCTTTCGTCTTGTGGTGGCCGACTGCATTTCTCCAAACATGATCCTTTATTCTTACAGGTTTTTTTTCTAGCCTTGCGGAAATTCAGTAGGAACTGGAAGTTTCTCTGGTTTCCTTTTCGTTGCCGATGATGATTTTTCCTGGTCTGTCTTCTTGAATTTAGATCGTTGCATTGATTCTTCTTCCGGGACCCTCTTGAAGCGCAGATTTCGGCATAGCTGATCTGTCATTTCTCAGATGTTCTGGTTTTCTTTACCACTTTACCTTCACACTGTCGTTATTTGGCACTAGAGTGGTCGAAACACTTCAAAGATCTCTGAAGTTTTCTTTTTGACGCTTGGATAAAATTCTTGATCTCTTCTTTTGTCTTCTCTTTCTGCAGTTTTTCTATCTAACGCTTTCTCAAACCTTGGTATTTTTATTTCTTTTCATACTTCCGAAAATGTTTTTTCCCCCTCTTTCGGATCTTGTATCATGCACTTCAGCGTTGAATCCACTGCATTCCTTCATGACTATTCGTTGCTCGAACCACTTGATTCCTGCAATATATCTCTGATCAATGGAATATTATCTAGTTTATAATAAGGCATTATCTGATTCAGAATTTCTTTTAGATATTCACCATTTTATCCTTTATAAGCCACATTGTTACTCTGATACTCTCAAATACAAAGGGTTCTTCGAATTTGTTACAAAATGTTCCCAACTTTGCTTCTTGTGCACACGAAAGACAGAATACTTAATTTTTGAAACTTTATCTCCCACCTTAAAATAAAACTCCCGCTTTTTCTTTCAATGATAAAATTTTTGTTTCACTCCGCCCGTATCCGAATTCGTATTTGTCTCATCCACTAGCTTCTGAAAGTCTTCTAACTTGAATTCTACGGACCCCCTCCCCCCCCGAAAAAAAAGATGTTAAGTAATCAACCTTCTGCCAAAAAATTATTTAGTGGGTGTCTTTCCAGTTGTATCGGGCTTAACGTTCTTAATGCAAATTCCAGCTCATGACACAGCTATCCCAGCATCGGTGATAATTTCTTACATAGCTGCGAATAATTTTAAATATTTTTCTATTTACAACGTCTGCAATATTCGATTGTGGGATATTCGATTATTTCGATAAGCAACCATTTTAAAGTGTTTTATACCAAAACCCATACACATTTCTTCAAAAATTTCGTTTACGAATCGCTTTCCATTGTTTTAAATTATTTTAAGTGGTGATCCATACTTTAAATATAAATTTATTTAAAACTAAATTTGCAACAATTTTCTCGAAAACTCTTTTGAGAATTATTTCTACACACTTCAGAAAAAAGTGGCAAAAGAAAACATTTTAAATGACATGAATTTTAAATGTCTATAAGCATGAGATAACCCTTCGTCCATGATAACCCTGATAATAATTAAATCCCTGATAAAGAAAATCTCTGAAGAACGAAATTTGAGAACACGATATATGTAAAAGTCAAATTAAAAAAGCGCGCCCAATTTTTTTCAGCTTTCAGAAAAGTGACATAATTTTGCAAAAGGAGGAAACCAAACTTTAGAAAACTTTAGAAAAAGGTGTATTCTACATCCAGGGAAGGAAGGGAGTCAGTTTCTATAGTGCATTGAATGGCTGAATCAATCGAATTCCTAATTCGTTTAAAATTAATAAAATCTATTAAATTAATTGATGTGACTGAAGCATTTAATAAAACAATAGCTTTTCTTCTCTTACCTTTTTTTGATAAGACAATACTCGAGTATAAAAAGAAATGCCATCCATGTTTACTTATGACAAAGTGATTTACGTGAATTCGATAGAACACTAAAATCTCTAACTTCAGCAGTTATTTAAAATATGCTTCCCGCTGCTAACACCTCCTTTTAACAGAGAAAGGAACACTTTCGCCATTATTTATTGCTTCACTCTACAAACATATCACGATAAGCCTTGAGTACTATCACCAAGGCTCCAAGGCATGTAAATTAATTTTCGGTAATCCATTAAAGCAGCAGTTCTCAGCCTTTTAACAAAAAGAATCCGCGAAGCATGCCTAAATTTCCAGGACTATAGTTGGGAAGACTCAATCATTTTCTTCAGCACTACTTTTCGCCGCTAACATAACACGTATAAATTTGATAGTGAGCGAATTGAACAATTATGTAATGTTAACGTAGAATAAAAACGATGTTTTATTTTTTAGCACTTCGAATTTTTGTAAAACTGTATTATGCATTCTCACAGAGACATAAAATTCTAGCTACACCTACTTTAATTTCTTAACCTTGCCTATTAATTAACATGTAGTGCATTGGGGAGAGTATTTGTATATCCAAAGCTCGTATCTGTAATTATCTAACTGAAATCTAATAAAGAATCTACAATCCTTAAAAGTGAAATTGTAAAATCAAGAAAGAATGCTCGTAGCGTCATGCAGATTGCAGAATTAAGAGTTGCGAGATCGATATGTAAATGATTAAAAAAACAGACATATAAAAGCTTCAAATTATAAACCAATTTATTCAGTATCTAATGCGTCCATCTCAAGCAGCGATAAAGGCCGCATTCCTGCGATGCATGCTATCAATGAGTTTTGATGGCTGCCTGGGGCAGCCTTTGCCAAGCCACATCCACTGCTGTACGCAGATCATCCAGGGTTTGCTGCCGTGGTACTCGGTTTAATGTCACGTCCAGTGACATCTCATAGGTGTCCGATGGGATTCAGATTTGGAGACTGCCGGCCAGGGTAGGGTGTCATATCCGGTCAGGCTGTTAGGAGTACGCCGTGCGACATGCGGCTTGGCATTGTCTTGCTGGAATGTCTTGGTGGCACTGCCTTGCTGGCAGCGGTCCGCTGTCAAACTGCCGTGTGAACCAGGGCCGTCTTGTGATCAAACATTATGCCACCCCAAACCATAATGCCCGGTGGAGGACCAGTGTGACGCTCGGCGAAATGGGCTATTTCGTAATGTTTTTCGGGTCGCCGCCTTAACCGGGTCGCCCGGTCGACGGCCGTTATTCCTCTACAGACAGAAACGAGATTCATCCATGAACAAAACGCGATGTCATTCGATGGTCCACGCACTATGACGCTGACACCACATCGGGTGTCTAGTCTTGTGTTCAGCTGTCAATGGCACCCCTGTGGCTGGTACCCGTGAACCTAAGTGTACTTTCTGCAATTTGTTATGTATAGTTTGGGTGGACACAGATCCACCTTCTCCAAATACGCCGGTCTGTGCGCTCTGACGTGCACCTGTGCGCACCACTTACTCTTCGACGTGCGCGTACCATTTTCCTGAATCCATCGTGTGACATAACGTTGGATGGTATTCACATTGTGCCCAACACGGCTGGCTATTGTGCGCAGCGACAAACCAAGCTAATGGAGTTCGATAATACGGTCACGTTCCCCGGTCGTTAACTGATGGTATTGAGCTCGCCGATGTCTCAGAGGCATTTTCTATGCTTCTTCTAAAGTCTCCAATACTCAGTAAATTCTCATATGCTGTTTATGAGAAGAGAAAGTTGCTGACCTTTATAGCTCGCATATCGTACCAAGTGATCCAATGCGTGCACAACTTTTATCATTTGCATATTCACCTCACAACTCTCGCTCCTGCAATTTGCATGAATCTACGCGCATTCTTTCTTGGTGTTGCAATTTCACTTTTGGGAAGTGTAAATAAAGAATATTTTCCAAACTAAATGAAGATCACTTCCCGCTGAAATGAAATAGTGTATTGAAAGGTAACATAAATCAGTGAAGAATAATAAAGATACGATGTAGGTAAATGGAATACAGTAATTAAACTTTATAAAACGAGTTATTTCTTTACAGTCTCCTTTATATGTTTTATTATGTTTTACAAAGTTTATCTTTATATTCTATTAAATTCTCTGCATTTTTTCTTATTCAAAAACAGATAACAAACAAATTAAGGGCTGGAGCGCATTATAATGGTATTTAAATGTATTTCAGTGTAAAGCATTGCTTTAGAATACTAGGGAATCGGCTTACGAGCTTCATCGCTGAACGAATAAAACTCGTATGATGAAGTACCATTGTACTTTTTTCCTTTTAGTTTATTAATTATTTTATGAGTTTTGAATAAATGGTGATTTTATAAAAAAAACGTTTTTTATTATTTTTAAAACAACCCCAGTCTCTTGCTCTGCGAAGCATCACATATTACATTTTCGCGAAAGGCAATACACTTTCGTTATTATAAACTTCATTTCTTTCAGGACTCCCATTGTCCTCCATACTGTAAAGCACATAGATGACACATGCGACTCACTGGAGAAAGATGTAAGAGATGATTATGGCGAGAAATTCTTGAAAGGCTTTAAAGAATTTTTTGAGTGCTTGACGAGTATGTCTTCGAATAAAATAAATGTCGTCATCGACGATCTAGAATCTGCAATAGCTCTTGAATATCCGGATGCGGTATATAAACCACGTCGGAATTTTCCAGCACGAATTTCATGTTATATTCTAGAACATTTTCCAAGAAGTGTTGTTGACTGGTTCACGCGCATCATTTTTGCGCTGATGGGGCTGCCGACACCAAAAGAAGCTGAAAATACTACATAATATGGATTCAAAAAAAGATAAAAATAATGAATTACATCTGATTTGCTGAAACTTAGTTATAAATTGTTGCTGCTGGTGTATAAAATATTTTCAACCAAAATGGAAAAAGAAAGTTTGAAAACGCTTATTTGCTAGTTTTACATATATCTTATACTTAGAATTATAACTCTGTTGATAAACTGCAAACCACATATGAAGAGTACTTTGAAAAAGATGATAACATATCGAAACAAACTATTTTGGCCATAGAATACTTGATCTCAAACGTAACATCAAGGTGCTAGAATTCTTTTAGTAGTGAAATCGAAGAGGTTAGATGCAAACATAAGTGTGACACAAAAGATTATTAAAAAATGATAAATAAATAAAATAAAAGCATTTATTACAGATCCATTGTACTAATTGTACTCTCAAAGGACAACCGCAAACCACATGCCTTAAAACGGCGATGAAGCAACTACGCAAAGCTCCTGGAATACAGAAAGCGTATCGCACTAGCGATCGAAATGCTGGCAACGATCTCCTCATCAGATATAAGCGCAAACTTTTGAGATATCCATATAAAAGAAATCGAAACACAATAGACAGAGCGACTGTAGGGCCCAAGCTATAATCACCTCGCCGAAAATCCTGAAAGATTTGAAACGTTCGCATTCAGATAGTTCCCTGCTTCTTGTCAAAAATGAACTGGTGCTGTTAACGTGCACAAATCACATATCCAGCCGGATGCTTGCTTCCATATCTTCCCGTAAATTTGGTAAAATTTCCTCCTGGAAAGTATGGTACTTTATACCGCCAGATCGGTCTCTCATACTATATGACCCATTTAGACATTCATGAATGATTCTTTCCCATACGTTTATAGAGAATTGCTGCTGCATATCTGGTTATATTGTTCACGATTGTCCACTTTTTCAAATATGTCGAAGGCTTCATGTAATAAATCTATTGGGAGGGTATGAAATCCGTGGTCGCAAATATTTGGAGATTAATATATTTGAAATATTTAAGCTGTAAACACAATTTCTACTATTTACTTATCATTTACATTTGATTTTGATGTTACATTTGTTTTCAAACATTGGAACTGACACAAATGCTAGTTCTTTCTTTAAACAATCAGAATCCGCTTTTCCCTTGGTGCTACGTCTTAGAAACCTATATCAAACAAGAAGAAAGCAGATTGTTATTAAGGGAATGGCAAACAAGTACCCACAACAAACATGTACATTACGGATTGCAAGACACTATCAGGCTGAAGGGGATTTGATTCAAGAAAAAAATACTTACAGAAATTTTTTTGTGTGCTACATTCTGCTCTAGAAACGAGTAAAATATGTATTAGGGCAGTGGTCGGCAAACTTATTAGCCAAAGAACCAAATATGAACATTACAACAATTTAAAAAAAATTGGGAGCCAAATCTCCTTGTTTAGTAAACTTTTATTACACTAAATAAACTAAATTTAATAATTAATAAATATTTATTAATGTGAACAATGTGCTTGCATCTCCTTGGAAAGTTTGAGTAAGTCAGGTTTGTATTTTGTTGTTTTTAATTTTAGGCATGATTCCAAGTTCTCATTAATAAGACGACTTCTCAGTTTACTCTTGATAATGTTCATGCTTTAAAAAGATTGTTCGCATATAAATGTAGAATCGAAAAGGGAAAGAACAGCAAACGCGAGCTTTTCCAGCTGATCGTAAGAGTCAGGAATACTATTCCAAGCGTTGAAAATGATCATGTCTTCCTTCTCCAGGTCATTCAAAGCAGACCACTTGTGTTGTGAACTAAGATAACATTTTTTCTTCTCTAATATTTCCAATTCAACACAAAGACGTTCGAATTTAGAGCGCCGTATCTCCTCGTTTTTTAAATCCAGCAATTGTATTTCAAAGCTACCAATGTCAATTTCAAAAGAATAAAATTTCAACTCGGTTATCGTCGCATTAAAAGGATTTTTGATAAATGCTAAAGTTGCTCTGCTGTTTTTAAATTCCTGAAACCTGCTGAAAAATGCTTCCCTCATATTTAAAATTATTGTTCTAAAATAGTGTTTATCAATAGAAGAATTATTTTCTTGGCGATGCTTCAGCAGGCTCGGAAAGTGAAACAATGTTTCCCTTTCAAAATTCTATGCAAAAATGGATAATTTGTTTTCGAATGTTATTACGTCTTCAACATCGAAAAAATTTAAGTTTCCTTTCCCTTGTAGTTTACGATTAAGTTGATTAATTAGAATGAGACGTAACGTCTACCATGAAATGAAAGTTTTGGATCCACTGATCGTCTGTTAGTTCTAGGATAGTGAACTCCCTTCTCAAGGAGAAATGCTTTAATTTCCGGAAAAAGGGACGCGAAACGTTTTAAAACGTTCCCTCTTGATAACCAGCGTACCTTGTACCTTGTTATGAAGCAGAAGATCAGCGTACTCACTCTCCATTTCAAATAAAAATTCTTTGGAATTGGCGATGATTAAGAGCTTTAGCTAAAATGGAGTTGATGATAATGGTAATCGCTAATTCCATAACTTTACAAATTTCTTCCGGAAATGTTTGCGCACAAAGCGCTTCTAGGTGAATGATACAATAGTAAACAAGTATCTCGTGATTAATTTTTCTTTCAAAATAGCAACAAACCCTTTTCTTACGCCGGTCATACTTTTGGCCCCATCTGTTGAAATCGACACAATTTTATCGAGGGGAATATGATGTTTATCCATACACTCAATTACATCATTGGCGATATCTTCTCCACGCGTCTGACCTTTGAGTGGCAATAATCCTAAAAATGCTTCTTTAGGACCTGAATGAGACATAAATCTTACAAAAAGTGAAACTTGCGCTGTATCATTTAATATGTTACAAGACTCGTCAACTGCTATTAATAAAGCCGAAACTAATTTCAGATCTTCAATATGCTGGGTGGTTATATTCGAAAACATTTTAATTGTTCTATCTTTAATGGTTTTGGCAGACAATGGTAACTCTTTAATTCTTTTCAGAATATCCCGAAATAGCTCTTCGGATGCATTTATAAAACAATTTTTTATGTATTCGTCGTCTGTGTACGGTTTTCCTCTCTTAGCAATCTCTTGGCTACAAACAAAACTTGCCATGTTAATATTACTGGAAGATTACATCCAGTTATTAAACACAGAAGTTGACGACTCTTGACTCTTCTGAAGTTCCTCAACTGCTTTCTTCCTAGCATCACCGGTAGGATACTTAGTGCTAAATGACGCGTGCTTTCCTATAAAGTGTCTCTCTAAATTTGACTTCCTGTTATGCGCGAATTTCTCCTTACAAATAACACATATCGGAAGTCCATTCAAGTTTTGAAGAAACGCAAAATTCTCGGTGCACTCAACTTTAAATTCGCGGTTTTCATCTTCCGTTTTTTTTTTTTTTTTTTTTTTTTTTTTTTTTTTGGTGTAGCCGTGTTAATAAGAGTGCTTATAAAAATATTCCAAATATATATTTTTTATTTTTTTCTAAAGCCACAAGTACAAAATTATTATCATTATTAAATTGATGAAAATAAAAATTTTAAAAAATCTTTTTAAAAAATACAATTTTATTAATATGTGTAACTGCACTAAAAAGAAAAAAAAAATTTTCCATCATCAGAATAACAAAACTTTTAATATGACCAAAAATGGAAGAAAACTTCCAACATTTGGACAAATAGAAGTTATCGAAAAATTGATTACAAATTTTGTACCGGAACCACAAACATACACAGCAGGTGTAATAAAATCGTATAAAAATACTTGTAAGATGTGCAGCTAGATTAAAAAACAACGGCAGATAAGACAAAACTGTTCACACTGCAACTGCTGCTCTGTGATGCCAATTTGCACCTTCACTACTTTATAAAAAGCATGCACGCGCATGCCGGTAGCTTGTACATGGTTTATGTTTACGTTTACGAAAACTAATAAAATTAACCACTTGCGCTAAAAAGACGTGCTACGTCGAGATGCTTTTGTCTCAAACCGCGAGCGACGTGAACACCACGTCGATAGGCATTTATCGCAAAAATGAAAATAACGTGGTGCACACGTCGCCTAACAACGAGATTGTTTATTTCTCGAGTTACAGCTCCGGATTGCACTTGCAGACGCGGAGCGGCGTAAATGAGACACTTTACCGCTTGTTTGTAGCGCATGGCACCGCAACCGTGAAGTTTAGTCGTAGCGCAAGTGGTTAAACTCGATGTTCGTTACGTATTTTTACAACAATATAAAATTTTAATTACTTATCTATCTTTTTACTCAAACAAAAAATTATACATGTTCTCGATTTATAGAAGAATTTTAATTTATCAAAATAAGATGTAATTTTTTTCTTACCAAGTTTTTTTAATGAAAATATTATTTCGACTTTGTACCAGAGCCGCACTTAAGGAGCCAAAGAGCCACATGTGGCTCTGGAGCCGCACTTTGCCAACCACTGTATTAGGGAATAATCTCCAACAGTCAATGCTTACACTCATTAAAATAGTATGGGTAAGTTTATTACGTAAAACGTTCTATAAGTTAGAGCGGGTCATACCAGTGCTACACCTCATGGCTTTCGTCTTTGTCTCTGGTCAACCTTACACTGCAACTGAGATGTTCTTACAATACATGGTGTTCTGATACTTCTTGAAAGATCAGCATTAGAGTTGGTAACGAAGAAAAGATCCCGAATCTTATAGCTGGTGATGCTAGTACTGAAATGATTTAGGATTTGGCAACCGTCTATAGTGCTTCCAGTACAACTGTTGAAGTGTGTCACTCTCGTTGAAGGGCATACTGACTTTATCGCCATTTGCGCTCTGTTGTCTTTATTTTTTGCCATTTTTCGCACACAATTCAAGCTCGCGGAACTCCTGTTTGCTGGTGGGCAATTATCAGCGTTCTAGTTCCGAGAACGCTGATAGAAGATGATCGTTTTAGAGTTCTCTAACTTCCCTTAAAACATATTCCATCTTTTTTTAGAAAAACACACTACTTATTTCTATATTCTCTTTCTTATGAATGAAATAGCCTTCTTATGATAGCCGTTTTATTAATGGCATAAAAACAGTGTATTGTAATCGCAGCATCAAAGACAGTTTTGTACTTTACAAAGCACATACTTGAGTTACAACACACAGACCCAAAAGATGCTGCCCTTTCTGTAAACATTGATGATAACAAGATTAATTTAAAAATAAACGTAGCAGATCGTTTTTACTAAAAGCTGTAGACTAGCAATCTTTTCTGTATAAACAAAATTTCTTGTTAAAAATTCAAATATTCTTAGTTCTGGGTTCGTGTGGGTCATGTAGTATTCCTTCGGTGCCCCAGATAGATTAACCAGTGTCCTAGTTATATTGAATTATTTAACTTCCATGTTTCCAGCGTATCATATACTTTAGTTTCCGTTCTGTGGACCCACTGTAACAATGTGATACAGATAAATAGTCATTGGTGGTCCACCGTATCACATCTCATACACTGAAAAAGAAAGTTTTATTTAAAATTTAAAACGCGCATAAATTATATTAGAATGCTGTTAAACCTTATTGATTAGAATATGCTGAGTGTTAGCATTGTTGTTAAAATTATTATTTATTATTTTATTCTCCAAATATAAAAAGTACGATGCCTTCAACGCGAATTCAGAGTTTAGAAACGTTTCACGCAGTGGAAGCGATTTAAAGTTGTACTTAAATATGGCCATAAGATATGTTAGACACTGATATTTAAATTTTTAAGTTTCGTACTTCATATTTGTAATTCATTAGGTAAGGAAATAATTTAAATATGTAAATGTAATCATTATTACTAATATTAATAATTATCTCAATTTGAATTTTTATTTAATTCATTATAGGATTAGATCAATAGGAATTTTTTAGATATTATTAAAAAATAACAGATGCAAGATATATAAGAAATTATGTTTAAATAACATATGCAAGAACCCAACGATT